GAAATTGCAAACTTTGGAAGAAATAATTAGGAATCCTAAAAGTTATAAATTAAAGAGTGGTTATCACTACAATATTTTTGTTTCTAGTATTGCTGTTACTTTTCCTATTCATTATAAATTCAAAATTGTATACCCATCATTAGTGATGTAACTTATTTTAGCAAAAAAATTTGATTTAGAAATTTCCAAGAAAATTATTTTATTTTTATTTACATGAATTTCGTTGTGATAAAATAACAATACTGTGAATGCTACTGCGCAAATATCAAATATTACCTCAATGCTTATTAGTTGTAATTCAAAACAAAATATTCAAATTAATAAAATATGTACAGTATAATTTCAATATTATTAAATATTTTTAAAAATATCAATTTCAAATTATAAAGTGTTACTTAAAGTGTGCGTAAAATGTCAAAAAATAATAGAGATTTAAAAATAATGAATATTTTATTGATACTAATATTACATATACTCTGCTTATATTTATGATGACTAATGAATTAAAATGAATTACAATAAGGTAGTTCAAATTTAATACATCTGAGCAATCTTTGTGAATAGCTACCAGGYGGAACACATGTTTCCAATAAACCATAATAATATAACGATTATAAAATGTTTCACAATCATTTTCCCAATCGACTACACCGTCTTCGACGTTCATTTGTTCTGCATTACGACAATAACAATCGTAAAACCAACTTTCATTCAAGTAACCTGGCCAACAATTTACACCGTAATTGTAATCGCATAATTGTTTCTTATGTTTGGNTAACATTGTGTGTCTCTTATATATGTCAACAGTTGTTTGTGTATTTGTGTACGGATAACCCTACTGTGTATATAATGCCTTCTTCCTTATTATTCTTATTTATACTCATATTTATAATTTAGTAACATGTAGCAGTGTCACATATATGTAATATGTTACAATAGCTATAAGTATTTCGAAAAACTCAACTGGTGAGAACACTGTAATTTTTCGATAAAACCTTATTAGAATGGACTTGAATACGCCTAAAACAATGCAAATAGTATTACACAATGGGCGTGTTTAAAGCGAATAAAGTAAAATTCTTAACACATTGCATCATTGCAACAAATTATAGAAAGAAATTTAACAGTTATATTCAATTCCATTTCATATCGTACGAATAAATTTTATTGATTTTATTTTTATAAAATACATAAAGAAATCCAAGACTCGACATCCAATTAACATGGAAAAAACATAAATATAATTTAATGAACATGAATCCATATAATAATAGTACAATAATTATTCCTTATTGGCTCAATAGTCGTGGTTAAAAAATATCTGATACTTAAAATAATTGTATTAGTTATAATATTGTCTAATTGTCATAATAAAATGTTCAGCAGCCCATATATTTAAGATAGCCGGGTGTTACTGTGCTATATCAGGTGTCCGCCTCTACATTTTATAATATTAGTTCATAGCTACATTATTCTTATTTTTAAAAAAAGGAGTGATTTTAATTTGCTTTAAGAATTTTCTATTTATTTATTTCTCGGCCACTAGATACTTATATTATGTTGATATTGCATATATTATTTAAAGCCATACTCAAACTAAAGATCATCAATACGGGTCTCCGAACACCAAACACTTAGAGGCCCATTCTGCAACTCTCAAAMTTTAATCATTCTCACTTCAAAAAATATGTTGTAATTATTATACTTTTTAACAGCTGTATATTATAGTTTGATCATTTTTTACCATTTAAAATAAAAATAAAAATAATATTATTTAATATAAATATAAATAAATTATTCAAACAAAGACATAATATTTAATATTATAGTATATTACATAGCCACCACATTACCACAACCACCACAGTAATAAATTATATTTTAAGTGTTTCACGTAATTATAATATATCATTACCTATAACTACGCCAACAGTCCAAATCATCTAATATGAATATTGAATAATATTCATTGAATATTAATAATTAATCATGCTTATATATATATATACATTTCGTATTGATCATTATTCTATAAATATAGTATGATTTACCGCATACTAATCTGAAGACTGAAATACACATTCTTTACAACTCTCGTTTTCACTAAATTACAAACTTTATTATCTGACATGGATTCCAGTGCATACCGGTATCACAGGAAACGAAACTGCGGACACCTACGCCAAAATTGCCATTTCCGACAAGGACACTCCATTACTAGACTCCCTTACCTACGATGACTTTAAAAACTCACTGAAAACATACATAAGAGAAAGATGGAATATAGCTTGGAATAGCCAGACCAAAATTAAACCAGATCAAGTCATCAACCTTCAGATGGGATAATCCCAACCTCAATCGAAAAGACGAAACTTCTTTAAATCGTTGTAGAACCGGACACACTAGACTTACCCACGGATATCTCATGKCAAATGACGAACCCCCCAGCTGCTAAGCCTGTGGTMAACGCCTCACCGTCAAACATATGCTGACTGAATGGACATCAACTTGACCGAAACCCTTGACGAAACTCTCGGTCTACACCCAAAWCAGAACAAAAAAACGCTGAAATTTCTAAAATTAACTAATTTAATTGACAAAATATAATTGTATAAAAGAACTTAATGTATATAATTTAAATAGTAATTAAGAATTCTGAACTAATGGCCTATGCTGCCGAGTTGTATTTTTTTAAGATCAATAAATAAAAAATTATTATATTCCAATAAAAAATAAATTTATCATCATTAATAATTTTTGTGATATGAGCCTTTTAGTTTTGCTTTTTTGAATTTCTTATGAATGCGTCCATTCAAATATTGCTTATATAAAAAAATGGGGCCCAGTACGGCAGGACCATGGCTTATATTGCCGGCCATAGCCATTTTCCTCCAATAAAATAAAAAACAATTCTTCGCCATTTTCCTTCAATAAATAATAAAGAAAATAGTAAAATAGCTAAAATAAAATATAGTTTATGAATATAACAAAAAAAAAAAAATTGTAATATTATTATTATTTTTTATAATTATTTCATTTCAGAAACAAATGAATATGTATATATATTATATATATATTAAACGAATGTACCCGTTTAAAAAAAAGAAAACTTAAACATAATTTGAATAATAATATTATTATATTTTTTTTTTTTAATTACTCGGACTAGCATTTTTCGATAGCTTATTTAGATAACCGATATACCAGAATGTATAATCTTCAACCGATAAGTGCAAAATGTGATCCTAGTCTTAACGTAATACTAAAATATTGGAGGAAAATAAACATAATTTTAGTCGAAAATATTGTGGATGAAAATAGAAACCAACTTTTTTTTGTGGTGGAAAATGGACAGTGTAGGAAAACGGTATCTCGTTTTTGGAGGAAAATGGAACCACCCATATGACCCCCTTCCATCCGACCGGCCGAATCCTAATCCCAGCTCGTATGCAGTGTTAACCTAACCTAACCTAACCTGACATCTAAGTAGCTACCTAAAGGTACGTATAATATAGGTTTTATTACATACATTTATTTGTGAAAATTAATACCATTGAYAGATATTGCATAGGTATAGTATTATGGTGTATAATAATTAATAATAGTTCAAATCATCTTTTTCTTGCCGTTCGATCTCTGTGACGGTACCACAGAATTTCAAACGTACTATTTCAGTTGGTATTAACCAGCAGTGGAGTTATTAGTACTTGGTATTATATTATATAATTATATAATTATATACTGTTGACATGTCGTGCGAATCACATTAATCACATTATAATTAGATAGTATAATCCAGAAAGTGTTATTAAAATATTTTTGTGTTCATAATTTCATCATAAATTATTTACAGCACGACAATTTAACACAAGTTATATTGATCGTGAGATAAAAATGTATATACAATTAACAATAATAATAATATAACATTAAGTATAAATTATTTAACAAATAATAATAATAATGTAACCTTCTTACTTACAACAGCATACGTATACCTAGGTACATGCATTACGTAATAATAATATTTTATACTTAAAATTTGAACTCCCAATATTGAAAATTTGTTTATTCAGTCTATACTTTCATCATGTCATCAGTCTATCACATTTATAAAAATAAGTTTTATACATAACAATACTGTAAGTTATCAATCTATACAATGTCCACCTTGAATTTTTTAAGCATCGTAAACACATTTAAAGCATAGCATATTATTGTATTCTTTGGTAGTTTGATAAATATTTTTTTATGACGAATACTGCCTACCTATGAGATTGCTCAAAAACAAAAAATTATCCGCTGCCGCCGAAGGATAGTACGAATTACGTCTGGTGGATAAGAAATTAACTTTTTTATGAGGAATTAAATACATAATATGACGTTTTCATTACCTTTTATACTATTCATTAATTTTTGTCTTGTATATCATATTGGGTAAACGCGTGATTGGGTAGGTATAGATGCCTACATTGCATATTTTTAAATTCCTTAAGTGGACTTCAAAAAATATTAATTGATGACCCCTGCTTCATTCTATATATATACCTACGCGTAAATTTAAACCGACAATGAGGCAACAACAAATAATCATACAACGCTCCCGCACTACACACACAATACCATATTATATTATCATGTTTAACATGTCTTTATTATTGTTAGAATAGTATTGTATACAAGCATAATGATATAATAAAATATATTGTCCGTTGATAAAACCGCAGCGGGGTCAGCGGGGCAATCCTAATCTCGACGGCGGCAGAGTCCATCACGCGTCGTGTCGGAACGCCCGCAGTTACTCGCAGACTCGCACACACAACTCGGCCCACCCGTAGTATACGGTATAATAAAATAGTTCAACCGTAAGCGACAATAATTCGTCGAGTGCYGACGWTCGTCTTAGTCGCGTCGCCCGTTTTCATCGTCATCATCGATCGATCCGCGAAATCGTTTGGTCGTTGTAAAAATCCGTCTCCTCTTCAGTCGTCGTCAACGACATGAAGACGGCCGTTGCAGTAGCTATCGTTCTGTCCCTGTGTGGAGCTTTTCCGTTCGTCTCAGGTACGTATCATAAAATAATATTATAGTTTCATTAATATTTTATAACTATTATTGTTGTTGTTATTCGCTTACACACGACGCACTCACCCTCCCCCCACCAAAATGAAAAAATAAAAATTTGTATTGTTTTATTTATTTTCTATACCTATGATAGCTACATAATTATTATACCTGCCGAATGTTTAACCGCACGGTCCCCAGTCGTACAACCATTTTACGATTTCTCAACATTCAATAATAAGTAAAATTCTTCTTCGTTTGGCATTTAATACTCTCTAAGAGTTTTTGCCRCCATCACAATCCCTTTCTACTTCTCTCGATCGTGCAGATTTATTTCTCTCCATTCCTGTACTCCCGTCTTGTTAACGTCTTCTTCCCAAGACACTTTCCTAAGTAATAAGTAACGGTCCCCATATATATATATATTATATGCCTATAGTTTACCATTATGACCGGACGACGTGTTCGCGCGAGTGGTACAGCGGAKATTTCCATTTGCAAATTGTATTTTCCGTCCGCGTGGTGTATGATAACTAATGTTTCCTTAATCTCAGGTCTGCAGTGCACCACATGTTATTATTATTATTATTATTATTACTATTATAATATATACGCTGCCTATAAATCTGACCGCCATATTACGGTACTGAAATCCATAAACACTCGCAATATTTACACGATATATATCGGTATATACCTACTACCTACATATTATTATAATATACGTATTGTATGCCACCACTGCACCACGGCAACTTGTATACACATTTACACACATACATGTATATCTACGGTTTGGAGCAATTAATGGTCACCGTTGTAAACATTATATATTATAATAGTATATACTTTACTCGGCGTTTAGTCGTCGTCGATCAAAAATCATAAAATATAATGGCCTTTTTGATACGTATGATACACGTACAACATAATAATAATCACTATAATGATGATAACCAAGTGCGGATTCAAGGGGACTATGGATGCTCCCCCCCCCTACAGACGTCTAAGCTAATAATAGGTGATATAAATTACTTAATCCAGTCCTCTACTTTTTTAATATCCATTTACCACCAACATAGTTTGAATATTTTCATGTACCTACCATCAGACAAAATTACCTTTTTTTTTCTATAACAAAAGTGTATACGTTATATTGGAATTATTATTATTGGTATAATATGTAGAATTATTATTTATATAATTAATTATTATTAAAACCTATATCAAATGAACCAAATAAAATAGGTACTGTAAATAATGATCCTTTTCATTTTTCTTTTTTTTTTTTTTTTATAAAAAGAGATTTCTTTGTGTACCACCTATGACCTTTTCGAATTCCACGAGTTTAGAAACGCTGCTTAATCTATAAAACAGATACAGAAAAGTATAAACATTTTTTTATTTTGATCGCCTTGTTAACATTTTCGAAATCCATGCCTAGTGAAAACGTCTCGTAGGTTAAACCATAATACTATAATAGTATTATCAGCAAATGTATCAACTCATATGAATCAGCAGATTGAGGATTATGTACTGATTTTAAAGTTACTTCAAAAATCTATCCCTTACAGTATATTCTATACTGTATGCGAGCACCCCTCACATCATGTGGATTTTATAATTGTTATAGGAACTCGCCCTTATTCCTGGAACCAATCATATGACTTTGTGATTTTGTTAACATCGTTGCGTTGTACTCAACAGTATTGTTATTATTATTTATCGTGATTTRAACTCTTGAACTCTTGATATTATTTTCTCTATAAAAGAAATTTTTTGGTAAAACTCATCTAGTTATACAAATTCATGTTTATTTCAAAGACTAGAATTGCGTAGGTAATAAATTGGTAAATCCCGGTTCGTTTGTGCAAATAAACTATAAAATATATTAAAGAGCAATATTATTTCCGTGGGCAATATTTATAGATAAAATCTAGAAAGATTGTGCTAAAATGACAATATWATAATAATAATCATTGTGTAGACAAATGTTATAATTGAAGACAACCGTCAGTCATAGGCGGTCCCCCGATAATAATCCACTGTATTAAAATCGTGCATTGATGTTAGACTTTTTTTAAACAATCGATTTTTAAATTATTATAAGCTAACGTTTATTATTTTTTAAAATTGAAGGAATATCTCATGAATATTTATAATATACGACCGCTTTTATTTTCAATCATTCCGTTTTTGACGTTTAAATAAATTTAAATTTTCGGTATCATAATAATACACAGGGTTGATATATTGATTTATTAATTATATAATATACAATGGTAATTTATAAATTACCTAAATATTATATGTATATTGTAAGYTTTATACTTTCATACAAATGTATAATCTATGTTAAATAAAACATAACACGTCATATCACGAATTWTATTTTATTTGTATTATTTGTAATATATTTAATATCAATAATTATATTGTGCGGTATGTACAAAAATATTATAATATTGGACCTTGTGTGGAGAGCTATTATACACACGATCGGTACAGCAGTCTCGATAGCTATTTTGTTTATTTTTATTATATTAGTATATCACATAATCAATACATATATTATATACATATATATGTAGAGAGAGAGAGAGAAAGACTATAGTATAGTTACACATTAGCTTACTACGCTTGTTAAAGGAACTACGTCATTAGCAGGTTTTACCTATATAGTAGGTATACAGTTATTATGTAAAATAAGACTCATAAACAATAACATTACGCCAATAATATCTTCTAATTCGAAATTTCAAATTTCAGTGATTCAACAAGAAAAATGTTGGACTTGGTACGGCTTATACTTATACATGCGTAACGGCAACTATCCCTTAAACTTTAAGGCTTAAAGCATAGATTCCTAACCTTTTCTGGTCCATGCCTCCATGGACCCCTTTGAAGTATAAAATATAATCAACAGACCCCCCTCACAAAAACAAAATATATATATATATAAATAAACAATTAAATACAATTTTTATTTTTATTATTTTGTCATGATAAATCTAATACCTACGTAATATTAATAATAACTAAAACTATATTAATATATTGTGAATAACCACTTTTTTTTTATAGTCAAAATAATTTTTAATGTAACATTTGCTGTTGTTTTGATTACATTATTGCCTTGAAATCTGAGATCGTATTGGACAGAGTAGTGCATATCATCCTTAATGTCCAATCGATTTCTTGCTTTAGTTTTAATTGTGACTACTGTAAAAAATCCAGACTCACAATGATAGGTGGTATCGAATAGAATCAGAAAGGTCATTGCCCTAGATACAGCTCACGGATAAGCCTTCGTCAACGGACACCAAAATTCGATTTATTAACCCTAGATTTATTGTTTGAAAATCGTGGCGTCCCATTTCTTTCGATCTTAAATTAATTAATTCGTCTTTAACGAGGTCTAAATAATCAATTGTATTTAAGCCCACGAGAAAAGGATTGCGTAACCATATTTCTGATTTCRAAAATGTAGAATCGAAATAATTACCAAATGAATTTTCGAGCACATCAAGATGTTCACAAATTTGTGTTTTTATGAATCTGGATAAAGCAATATTATTTTTGAATAGCTCCTGTTCAAGTGTTAGAAAGTACGGTAAATTTTCCGATTGAAGTCTTTTTTTCCACAGGGAAATAACAAATGCGTTTAATTTTTCGGRCGCGTCCATAATTTTTACTCTCATCCTTGAATCGATATATTTACTTCATTCAAATGACTAAAAATACCTATCAAATATGCCAATCCATGGACGAACTCAATACTATGAAAATGTTTTGAGAGTGAGCTTTGCCTTTCTATTAAAAAATAAGAAATTTCTTGTCGAAGTTCATACAAACGTTTAATAACTTATGCTCTGGAAAGACAACGCACTTCTGTGTATTAAAGAAGAACTTWATGTTCAGATCCCATTTCTTGATATAAAACTTTGAAAAGTTGGAGATGTAAGGCTCTAGCTCTGATGAAATTTACAACTTTATCACTGCAGTMGTCATAACTTCTTTTAAATTGGTTGGTAGAGTTTTTKATGCTAAAGCATGCCGATGAAGAAAAACAATGAGTGATGATGATATCGGAAATTTCCTTCTTTATTAATTCTGTGAAACAGGATGATTTACCAAGCATCGCAAAAGCACCGTCGGCGCACAGCGAACTGAATTTTTTTCATATAATTTAATTTATTTTTAGAAAAAAAAATTAGTTATTATTTCAAACATGTAAATTGCCCTTGTAGTTTTCAATAGAGGTTGACAAAATAAAAATTTTTCTTCACTAATTCCAGAATATATGTATTATGTAACGTACAAAAACTAATAATTGGATGAACTGAGAAATGTCTGTACTTTCGTCCAACTGCATACTAAATGGAAAAGGGGTTTAATCTAATTCCCGAACTACTTGTTCCAAAATGTTAGTAGACATATCAAAAATCCCGGAGTTAATAGTATCATTTGACAAAGGTACAGCTTCAATTTGTTTTCGTTGTTCCAAACCACATACTATATAATTCTACCATTTCTAATGCTCATGGTTCTATTAGTTACTCGCCAATTTTATGTGGTTTTTTACTTCTAACAAATTGCTAGTAGCAATGTGGTAAGCTATTTTGTAAAATTCTTCGAGACAAGGTTTTTGCTGAGGTACTAATTCAAGTTTAAGTAATGTATCGGTTTTTTTCAAAATGTACTTTTTTGTTTGAAAGACTTCCTAATTACCTGATGCATTTTGATGATGTACCGAAGCAAGAAGTTTTTCAAGCTTAGTTGATTTCATGGTTCTATTTACACKGAATTTTCCAYAGACAAAACATTGTGGTTTTTGTGTACCGTCGCGTTAAATAATAGATTTTAAACCAAACGACATATAAGAGTCATCGTACTTTCTTTTTTCGGCATTGCRAATATTGAAATATTATTAAAATTTAAAAATATAAAAAAAAAAATGGAACAAAAACTGGAATGAATATTATGTGGATGGTCTAAAC